AAGCAGTATTTGGTTTTCTGTTCTTGTGCTAGTTTGCTGAGAATAATGGTTTCCAGCTGCATCCATGTCTTTTTTTTTAAAATAAGCTATGTACTACTCTCTGACACATAAACTATGTGCTTTTATAACAATCAAACATTGAATTCTGAAAGTTCAGTGTGAACACATGATCTCTTTGCCTTGTACTTATCAAAGTATGAACTGACTGGGACTCACAGTAACATTATTTAAGGTCCTCTGCAATAAAATGTGTTTCTGAAAAAAAAAGAAAATCGAGGTTTATTGAGCATCAGTTAAGAGTGAGGCCCAAAGTTACCTACTTTTCCAAATGATTTCACAGAGGTAGTCTTGGCCTCACGCATTTATGTGAAAAATGGAGGTTCCAAGAAATGGAGTCACACAGCAAATGAATGATGTCTGTCTGATTCCAAACCCTATTCATTTCTCTGCAGCTAAGATGGCTGAAAGGAATTAACCAGGTAATGTTATGGAGACTGAAACTAACTTTTTTCCTCCTCAAACTGCAACAATATTAAAGCTTTTTATTTCCTTGGCACAACGTTTACCAGTAGCAAGTGCTTTGAGAAACGGCCATCTAATTTTCAGATTAAAAAAGAAAACATACTTTTTATCAAGGATTTCGGATTCACTTTTAAGTTCAACAAAGTGACTGATATGTAACACCCTAGTCAAACGTGGACTTGCCAACTGTCTGCTACACCTGCCTTTCTCTGCAGCCCCCAAAAAGCATACCAAGAGATCCAAGACACTCAAGCACTTTTGTAGCCAGGTGGGGAATTCTTCCAATAAAGGAGCCTTGGAGATTGGATGATGACACGGAAACCAGTCACTGACAAAGGCACAAACAGTATAAGCTCTGAATTTCTCCCAGGTCTTGGGCTACTGGCTTCTGGGAGCTCTGACTCCCAGTCACTGTCTGAGATCTAACCTTTTCTTGGTATTTCATCATTGGCTTTTTCACTTTCCCTAGTTATCTGTTCTCTGAACATGCTTTTCACTGGCAGTTTCTCTCTCCTTGTCCTAGAACCCAACCGTCCATCTTCAATAAAATAACTCTAACCTCTACCTGCTCACTATCTCAACCCTCAAGTACATCTAGATATCACCACTATCACTGCCTTTCCCTCTAGACAGAAAAGCATTTTACTAAAAATGCCAGCTAAAATCTTATCCATTTTCCAAAGGGCAATTCAACTGCTACCCTCTCCTTCCTGGAAGGTCTTTGAAGAAATGCTTTCTCAACCCTTGGTAACCTCAGGACTCTGTATGCACCAATTATACGATTGTCTTTGGGTTTTATTGCTATTCACATATATATTTCTTTTCTGCCCTAAATGGAAGCTACAACAAGATCAGGAACACATCTTGCTCATCTGTGTCCTCCACCACCTCCAAGTGCTGACTTAACCTCACATGATCAACTTTAGCTGTCTCAGGCTCACACTGCCACATCAGTACTCCTCATGGCCAAAAAAAAAGTTAAATTTTGAAAAAAAGGAATTTCCTCAAGTAAGAAATAAAGTCCTAAAACATTTCAAGTAAAATAGAAATTATTTAATACACACAGCAGTTTTTATAAAGATGCTCTGTGTGTTATGCTGAACACAGAAACATCTTTAGAAAATAGTATTGTAAAAATTCGAAAGGGTTTCCTTTTGCATATATTCTTGGAGATGTTAATTTATGCATCTCCTAGAAGAGGCACAGCACATCCAACCATGTTCTCTTTTCTTTACAACAGCTTCAGACATTTCTCTTCTGAGATGCATATTTGGGAAATGTTGGAATAAATTATATCCAGTCTTTCATATTTGCATCTATACAAATCTGCTGAAAAGCTTATTATTTACAGTTGAGAAAAAGTGAAGAAGATGATTTATTTTAATCCTCAAAACCAGTGAGAGGTTTTTAAAAGCAAGTATCACTTATTAAGCTTTTCATCTGCTTTGACCTGTTCGAAAGACAGCCCCCAAAATTCCACATTTTATTATTTCTTTCATACAGTTTTTAAACCACTAGTTTTAGGGATATTATATTTAGGTCATTCAAATATTTAAACAACTTTTCATATTTTAAACCGGAAATGTTTCAGTATTTCTTTTGTTGTATGGTGTTATACAATTATATTCTTAACCGTACATTGGGCAATGTTCACATATTAGGCATTGATTCAGAATTGGAATTTCCATTTCATAAGTAAATAGACAACTACGTGAAATAAGTTCAGATTGTGAATGTGATTATTTTGTTTAATGACATTCATTAAACAAAAGACAGTTGCATACACTATTTGAAAAAGTATAAATTAGAATGTGTCTGTTAGTTTTTAAATTGTATTTTGACACTTGTATTTTGATAATTTACGTGCATGTCTTTAAGGGGGAAACAATTATGAAAAAAAAAATAAAAAACACCAAGAGTTCACTACCCTGTTAACGTATAACAGCATTATCAATGGTTCTTGGAGATTTTCAGCCACAAATATGTTGTTGGGTTCAGCAGCTTGTATTACAAAGTTCTTATAAATTGCTGTTTTAGAAAAATTAAAAGAAAATATGTCTAATGCTAGGTTTTTCACAGATTCATTCTACAACAAATACTAAGCATCTACCACGTGCTAGGCAGTGTTCTGCTAAGGTTATCACAGCACAAGAAAAGCAATGCAGATGCCTGTCCCCATGGAGCTTGTATGAAATAAATAAATCATCTGGCCTGTAAGCCCTGTAGAAGAAAGTAATTAAGGGAGTGGTGGGGTGGCAGGGGAGAGCAACAGTTGTAGTATTAAATTTGGTGGCCAGGGCTTAAATGCAAGGGAGACATTATAGCATGAACTTGAGAGAAGTTCAAGCCATGTTACTCTTGGGGGAAGAGCATTTCAGGCAGAAAGAAGTACAAATGCAGAGGCCTCTAAGGAGGACCTCTGCTTTTTATTACTTCTGTATTTTACTGGACCACAGCCTCATTCATTGGCTACGTCTGCTTTTATGCTATAACTGCTGAGTTAAATAGTTGCAACAGAGACCATTTGACTCTAAAGCTTAAACTATTTACTACCTGACCCTTTACAGAAAAAGTGTGTTGACACCTGCTACATGGAGTTCGGAATCCCACCTCAATCAGTGCTGTCTGTGTCAAAGAGACATGCGGCCATGAAGCTCAGCAACCACTGCATAAGGAAGGGGTAGGCATCACTTTGTCTACTTTAATGAACATCTTAAACCCTCACAATAGCCTACAGAGTCTAATTAGGAAAGGAAAAATTCTGGATTCTACTTCTGATTTAATGAATGCATGTGTTTTGGCTAGCTACACATATTTCTTTCAAGTCATAGCAATATAATCACATAGAAGAATTTTAAAATTTCTTGGTGATATACCAAGCTCCTTGGTTTATTTTCTTATATCCATTTATCCTGGTATTTTGGGTGGGGGGGCGGGTAGGGGTGAGCTTTAGGACAGAAAATGCAATTATTTCCCCCAAAATAGAAAAATATAAATCCAGAAAACTTACAGCATCTAACCTTAGGCAGGTTCAGAATAGAAAGAATGGAAAGTTAAAGTTCTGAAAAAGAGAGACAGAATATACCCTAACTGTCCCAGAGGTGGCCAACAATGGTGAAACTTTCTCAATGTGCCTGGAGCATAAACAGACCAACCCTGTAAAGGGCGAGATCTCACCCGGGACACACAGGAAACCACAGCTGCTGGGGGCTTTGTACTCAAAGTCTGTTTCTTCTTCCAGTGATACTTTAAGAGAGCACTTGGACCTCTCTAAATACTTAGATTTTACAGAAATGAATTCAAGAATATTCAAGTTCACTGATCCATTCCACTAGTGTTCAGACCTGAGCACTGATCCACACGTTCAACATCTGAATATGCACTTACCAATAACACTTAGGACTAAAAAGAACAAGCAGAGGGTTTTGTCATCATAATGTAACCAGAAACAAGTGACACACACAGCTGATAGTAAGAAGTACCCTGCTTTGGCTTATTCAAAATCAAATTTCCTAAAGGATGAAAATATATAAGGTACTAACATATAATTACTAACCATATAATTTTGGGGTGTTTTGCTATCTTTTGAAATGTAATTCCTGCTTCTACTAGTCATCTGATGCCGCTTCCAGCAGATATTTTTTCAATTAAAATTATTTTAGATCAAACCAATCCTTTCTAGAAGTGATACACATTTCAGAACAGGAGAGAAAACCGCACACTGTAGGACTCCCACATTAGCTGCTGATACATGAAAGCTTTAATCTCAAAATAATTTAATAATTCATGAAAAACATTTCAAGTAAGTATTTCAAAAAGACATCTAAAAATCAGGATGCTAGAAAACAATTCTAATTAAATATAATCCTTCCCCAAAGACTTCTCACTACTGTAAAACGCTTAAGGGACAAAAGTTTCTTTGTAAACATCTGTTGATAAATCCATTGAAAAGTGTAATATTCACGGGACTCTGACCTTCTGTGTAACATACAAAAATTAAAACAATATATCAATAACAGTGAAGACCTAAACCTAACAAAGATGTACTTTTCCCTAACTACAATAAGCCTTGTATTCTCAAACAGAGCACTGTTATGATATGAGCAAAAGCTAAACAGTGTGGGCTGAGTAATACTAACTCAGTCTGTCTTGTTTTTCTTTGTTACATACTGGAACACAGATTAGCACATTTTGATGCGAACTTAGAAGGTAACATTAAGAAATTAGATGTGAGGTCATAACTTTCTATTTTAATTTGCGATTCTGGACCTTAATGCAGCATTGCATTGCACATCTCTCTCCTTATGTCTAAAGAATAGCACTGGCAAAAGCGTGCTGAAAGTCTCTAAAAATGGCATCTCTGTGTATATGTGTGTGTGGAGGTGGAGTGGGGGAACAGCAACCCAGGAGGTTCAGAAATGAATAAACTTGAAATTTTAAAAATATGCCACTTATGAAATAAATGAATACGTACATACCCTTGAGGAGAGAGTTTATCCAGCCATCCCGATTTAACCTTCTTTACAGATGCTCCATAAAAGCAGGCATAGGGAGATATTGCCTGTGAAGAAACAGCTGATGAATCAGCATTTCCACTTGTTGAGCTTAATGGATAACTGTGCCTATTAACGGAGTCCAAAGTCAATGCTTTTTGAGTCCTAGATTTAGATGCCTTTGAATTTTTTCTTCTTAAACTCTGAAAGCATTCTTCTACTGTTGAGTATTCTGATTCAGAAGCAGTGTCTATCAAAAAATTGTTTTTGTCCTCTCGAGGTATCCAAATATCTTCCACCTTGTCCTCACTTATTTTCTCCTTTCTGTTATCATATATGCTAAATGGAAAAATGATGTAAACATTTCAAAGTGCTATATGTGATTTAAGACATCAGTGACATTTTGAAAATTTATAAATAACCAATAACAGAAACATAAGGCCAGGAAAATCCTAGAGTTTCAATTAACCCTATTGAAAATTTTTTTAACTCTTCCAGAAAAACTAAGTAAAATTCTTTCATTAACCTATGACATATGTGAATACTATTACAAGTTTTTTCTTAGGTATAATTTAATCTTATCCCTTTTATTTTGGATGTTAGGTGCAGGTGCTAAGGATGGAGACTGGGTATATTCTTCATATCACAATTTAAACATCTTTAATAGCACAACTAAGTGGCCAGCCCAATCTCTCTGGGCAACGTCATGGATCATTAACTCATCTATATGGAGATCTTATTTCCCACTTGTTGACCGCTCTCTACTATCCTCTAATCAACTCCAAGGACCCCATGTTTCACCATAATGCAATAAAACAGAGAGTACGCCTGACTGCTGAGAGCATCAGTATTATTTTGCAATGCTGATGAGGAAAAATATTGCAGCACACTGCTAGCTAGAAAACAATAAAGGGTCAGTGTACATCCAGGAAGTAAAGGTTATGTAATGTAAAATATTTATTGGAATGCATTCATAATTGCTAGACATATTTCTACAGATTCAAGGAATGACATAATAGATCAACTCATTCATTAATGACAAAGGACATTGTTTTGCTGATCAATGAAACAGATATGCCTGGGCTCAAATTACATCTTTCTGGATATAGCATTCTAAAAACGATTACTGCCTTAAGAATAATTTAGCCTGGCCCTTTCATATTTTGCATTATATTAAATTATGTCAAATGTTTACTGAAGCTGTTTAATTATTTAGCTTTAACTGAGAGAAACCTATAACAATGTTAGCCTTAGAAAATGAAAGACAAAAATAAAGTGAATGTCCCGCTAAAAGAGTTTAATTAAACTGTTGGCAATACAAAAGAGAAATGCTTTGGGGGATGAATACTCCATTTTCCATGATGTAATTATTATGCTTGTATCAAAATATGTTATATACCCCAGAAATATATACATCTACTATGTAATCTCAAAAATTAAAAATTAAGAAAAAGAAATGAAATATCAGGTAATGATCCAGTATGCCAAGTTCCAATAAAGCTGACAGAAAAACAAAATTGAAGTTGCTGCATACAAATTCTAACTCCGTGTGTGATCCAAATAACTGGATAATTGCCATGCTTCTTGCCAGTGCTGAAACTCCAATAAAAATAATATATTACACTTGTAAAAGTCTGCAACTTGCATAGTGATGTTCTGTACTGCCCTTTGCTCCTTTTTATTAACATAACCTCTCATCTTTAATGTGCAATCACAGTCACCTGTATTGCTTTGGGGCAGGGGTGTGGTTTCCATTAGAAAAACACAAAACTAATCTGCCACAGAATGCAACTATTTACTTGATTTACAGAGCATAATTCAATTAATAAAATGGGTGCTGTTATGCTTACATTTAGAGAGGAAAAATTTGAACTTATCAACATAAACTATTTTCTCCGACACACAATATTATACTATGAATGAAAAGTCAACATTGTATAACAGTTTATTCTAAATAGTTAATCATCATCAATCATGATCTCATACCTTGATTTGATGATAAAAGAGTTCGTTGCAGTAGTTGCTTCCCCTTTGAGTGCTTCTTCCTGGGTCAAAAATTCATTCTTTATAGATCGCTTCTATTAAAAAAGCAAACAAACAAAAAACACATACTGTTTTGCTTTTTGGTTTGGGGATTTGTTTGTATGTGTAGCAATATTCTACAAAAATCCATAATATCTGAGTTTAACTAAATAAGTCTAATTACTTAGATCAATTTTCAGAAAAAAAAGATAGTCTACATTAAACAGACTTTTGATGTTTTTTTCACTATTTTATTCAAATCGTTAACTCATCAGTTCAAGTAAGAGCAAAAGAAGATGCTAACCAAAAATAAAATTTATATACTTTTATTTAATTCATTTTTGTCTTCCAACTTCTCTTTTATCAAGACCAAGAAATAATGTAGCAAAAGAGCACAAGTAATAGAAAAGAATGAGTGATAAGCTAAATAATTAAAATATATACATAATTGGAAGTCTATGCACTTCGGAACTCTGCACTTGGCTACAAGGCAAAGCAAAAATCTAGAGAGTGTTTAAGTTTTACAGAGTTTGTCTTTTGTTTAATTAACCCAATTTTGTGGCAAACTTTTAAAACTCACTATCCTGGATTCCCGAAGTCAAAATAAAAGTGTGTTTCTATAATGTATATTGAAAGATACAGATTTTACCATAATTTTACAGAACAAAAATTTTGCTAACTGGAAATTTCACTCTTCAACATAATGCCATTCTTCAAATAGCTTGGAGAAAAATGAAGAGGTACAAATAGGCAGAAAAGTAAATAATTGATTATGGAAAACAATTAAAATGTATGGGACTAACCTTGGAATTTTCTAGTCTCTGGAAGAGAAAGGTCTCTCCATAAGGAAAGATGGAAGATGAATTCTCCTCATTTGAATCTTTTAGGGGAATTATAGGATGAAAATGGAAAGATGTGAATAATGTGAAATACTGTTTTTAAAAAAAGATTAAAAGCATGAGTTTTTTATGGCATTATCACAACGTAAGCTTTATTCTCTAAGAGTCCAAATTATGCTAATTCTTATCCCCAAATCAATTCTCCTCATTGTCTTCTTGATATAACACTCATGGTATCCACCATTTGCTTCACAGACATAACTCATTGCTCCTTAAATTGCAAACTGTCACATATGTCCTTGCCAACCTCTAGGATCCACATTAATATAACCAAATACATTGCCCACATACAAAAGAAATTGTCATGGTGCCATTTATAATGAAAACTCCTAAATAAGGAAATATTCTAAACGGCAGAAAATTAAGCTTAGTTCTATAACTTACAATAAATAGTTATAAAAAGGTCACCAACATAATAGCTAGATATCACTTAAAATCCCAGAAGGCATTTAAAATAATTCCTCTAATGCCATAGCTACTAACGCATCTGTAAATAAATTATTTCAAGAGAAGTTCTACCATCCTTGAATTATACTAATCTACAAAAAAGAATTCTCAATATTTGCATTTCTACTATGGCAAAAATTTCTCTTAAAGATTCAGTACCCAAGTGTTTGACATCTTATTGTCAAAAAGAATGTTCCCAAACTTGTATAATCAGAAGTTTCAAAATGAAAGAAAAGCCTCTGTCACTGTTCAATTTGCCAGAGCAACAATGACAGCCCTTTCCAGTTACCATGGCAAAATCACTTTCCATACATATATCTTTGTTCTGTAGCTCAGACTGCCAGAAACCATTTAATTTAGTTAAATGCCTGCAACTGTGGCTAATGATAAATGAAGCTTGCATAAAAAGAAAACTTTTTACATTAGCATGTACAAATTTCTAGGAGTCAGAGTGTATTTTATTGCCTTTTATTCAGTCCCCTTTAAAAGTGTCTGAGGTACTATGAACGCTGGCAGACAGTCATTTCCATTGTTCCCTATACCACAGGTGGGCTGCCTTCTCAATCATGATTTTAACACAGTTAAGACGATCAAATGAGCTCTAATTTAAGGAGGAATTAAACACATAGACTCACTTTGCCATGCCACAGATTTTTCAGTTGAGGTAGCAACATTTCTTCTTTCACGAAAATAGCTTAAAAAGCAAAGGAGAAAATATTTATGAGTGAAAATATTTAAGATATTTAGGACTACAATTAAAATTATTAGAAAGTATTATGAGAAAATATTTATGATTTATATTTAAGTGAAGGATTTATTAGAGAGAGATACATTCTTTTGGGTAGGAAAAAAACAATATTCAGAAATTAATTCTGACTTGAAAAAAGCTGAATGGCCAACTTCCACAAATGTCTTTTTCTATTTAGACTTTTAAAGAAAGAGATTTTCTTTGCAAAGGAAATTTTTTACCAGTGTTTGCTACTCACATCTATAATTCACAAAAGTAAGTAAACATATTTGTCCAATGTTAGTATGCACATAAAGTAATTTCAAAACTGCTAGTCATATCTCTGAAAGAAAGAGATTTACTAACTAGATGTCAGTATTTATGTAGCTTTTTGTCTTTAGCTTTTTAATAGTCAAAAACATGCCTGGCTCTGTAGGCACAATATGAAAATACACACAAGATCTTCTTTCAAAGATCCTACAGTCTCGGGAGGAAGGTATCACAGGGTAATTATTTAGAATACAACATGATAACAGCAATGGCAGAGGTAAACACTGGAGAAGCAGAGGGTGATGAAGGCCTTCTACAATATAACAGAGTTCTCTTTTCCATCTAAAAAAAAGGAAAAATGAAAAAGAAGAACAAAACTGGCAGATTTCTACTATACAATTTCAATATTTAATCTAAAACTACAGTAAGCTAATAATCATTGCGCCATTGCTGAAAGTACAGACATATAAATCAATGGAATTGAATAGAAAGCCCACATATACAGTCCCACACATCTCTGGTCCATTGACTTAAGAAAAAAGTTCCGAAGAAATGCGGTGGAAAAAGAATAGCCCTTTAAACAAATGTTGCTGGAACTGGATATCTCAATGATTAAAAGAAGTGAATGTCAACTTTTACTTCACACACAAAAATTAACTCAAAGTAGAGTTGGGACCCAAATGTTTAATGCTACAACTCTAGAAATTCTGAAAAATATGAGAGAAAAATCATTGTAACATCTGAGTAGGCAAAGATTCTTTAAATAGAATAAAAAACTAAAACCCTAACAAACATTGAAATGTAGTCTTTACGAAAATTTAAAATTTATAATGTCACATACTAGTGACAAGTGATTTGCCCAAATCAAAAAAAAAAGGACTCTTACAATCCAGTAATAAGAAATACAACTCGATTTTAAAATGGGTTAACCTGCCATGATGGTGATCACCTCTGGTCCTAGCAACTCAGGAGGCTGAGGTGGGAGGACAGCTTGAGCCCAGGAGGTGGAGCCCTGCAGTGACCCATGATTGTGCCACTGCACTCCAGCCAGGGCAACAAAGACTTTGTCTCAAAAAAACAAAAACAAAGCACACACACAAGAACAAAAAGAACAGCATGAGCAATATAGAGACCCTGTCTCTACAAATATAAGTAATAATAAATGCCATTTTTTAAGCTTGGGCACAGTGGTTCATGCCTGTTACCACAACATTTTGGGAGGCCAAGGTGGGCAGATTTCTTGAGCTCAGGAGTTTGAAACCAGCTTCTTGGGCAACATAATGAAACCCCATCTCTACAAAAAAAAAAAAAAAAAATACAAAAATCAGCTGGGTGTGGTGGTGCATGCCTGTAGTCCCAGATACTTGGGAGGCTAAAGTGGGACAATTACTTTAGTCCAGGAGGTTGAGGTTGCAGTGAGTCATGACTGCATCACTGCACTCCAGCCTGGGCAAGAGAGTGAGACCCTGTCTCAGAAAATAAATAAAATAAACAAAATGGAAAAATGTAAATAGTTGTATCACAAAATATATGAATGTGTGATAATACCACATACACATTAGAATAGCTAAACTATAGCCTGTCAATATCAAGTGTTGGAGAATATGTGGAATAATCAGAACATTTAAATACTGCTGGCAGAAAATAAATAAATAAATACTGCTGGCAGGAATGTAAAACGGTGCATCCATTTTGGGAAATTGCTTGTATTTTCTTATAAAAATAAACATTCACCAAACTTCAAAGCCCAGCTATTCCAATCCTACCAAAAATATTGAAAACAGATGTTCACAGAAAGACCTGTATACAAATGGTCACAGCAGCTTTATTCTCAATAATCAAAAACTTGAAAAAACCCAAATAGACATCAAGAAGTAAATGAACAAATAGTGGTGTATGGATCCAAGAGACTATCACCCAGCTGAAAGAAAAAAAACTACTAAAAAAACTAATAATCTAAATAAATGTCAAAAATCATCATGCTGAGCAAAAGAAGACGTAAGAAATACTGTCATGCATGGTTTAATGACAGGGATACAGTCTGAGAAATAGGTTGTTAGGCAATTTCATCATTTGCAAACATCATGGCGTGTACTTACACAAACCTAGATGGTACAGCCTACTTCACGCATAGGTTATATGGTATAGCCATTATATTCTTACAGGACCAATGCCATATCTGTGGTCTATCACTGACAAAAATATCATTGCATGGTGCAGGACTGCATATTCTAACTTTTTCTATATGAGCACGTGAAACAGGGATGGACTGTATAAGAAACTAAGAAACTCTAGAAGTAACAGAACTGCTCTGTTTCTTGATTGTGGTAAAAATTTCATAGGTTTATGTATCTTTCACAGCTCATCAAATTACATGCTTTAAGGGATTATAATTTATTATATATATTTTTCGACCTCAAAAGGAGTTGTTTAAGAATGAATTCAGCAGCCAAGCATGGCGGCTCACACCTTAATCCCACCACTTTGGGAAGCCGAGGTGGGCAGATCACCAGAGGCCAAGAGTTTGAGACCAGCCTGACTAACATAGATAAACCTCATCTCTACTAAAAACACAAATCTTAGCTGAGCATGGTGGCACGTGCCTGTGATCCCAGTTACTCAGGTGGCTGAGGCAGGAGAATCTCTTGAACCCAGGAGGCGGAGGGCGCAGTGAGCCAAGATAGCGCCACTGCACTCCAGCCTGGGTAGCAGAGTGAGACAGCATCTCAAAAATAAATAAACAAATAAAAATACAAAATACAAAAATAAAAATAAAAATGATTTTAGCAAACTTACTAATAGGGTTGACATATAAATATCAATTCCATCCCCAAATATCAGCAAACAAAATGAAACATTAAAATGGTGCCATATAGTATAAGGGCATTAAAAAACTACCAAAACCTAGAATTAAATCTAGCAAAAGATTTGCAAGAATTCAATTAGAAAACATTACCAAGAAAATTAGAAAAAAATCTAATTAAAAATATATGAAATACTAGATGTTGCAAAGATGACAATACCCCCTATATTAATCTGTAGAGTCAACGCAACCCTAATCAAAAGAGTTACAGGGAGGGACACGTGAGATTTAACAAACTGATTCTAAAATACATGTGAAAAAGAAAGGACCAATAATGACACATTTTTAAAGAGTACAGTGAGAAGACATACCCTACCAGGTTTCATGATTTATTATATAGCTGTAGTAATTAAAACACTATATTACTGATAAAAAGGATAATAGGCTATTGAACTAGAATTAAGAACCCACTTAAAGAGACCCAGTTACATGGATAGAGCTGGAGGTCATTTTCCTTAGCAAACCAATGTAGGAACAGAAAACCGAATAGCACATGTTCTCCCTTGTAAGTAAGAGCTAAATGATTAGAACATATTAGCACAAAAGAGGGAACAACAGATACTGTGGCCTACTAGAAGAGGGGAAGTGAGAGGAAGGAGAGGATCAGAAAAAATAACTATTGGGTACTAGGCTTAGCAGCTGTGACGCAAGTTTACTTATATAACAACCCAGCACATGTACCCTGAAACTAAAATAATTTTTTTTAAAAAAAAGAGATCCAATTGCATTTAAGCGAAAGAGGTCAATCTATAGCAATGAAGAAAGTATGGTCTTTTGAAAGACTAGATCACCTGTACATCTATATGGAAGCAAACGAAAATTTACTCCTACCTCAGACAATACACAGAAATCAATTCAAGATAGATTATAAATCCCAGTATAATAGGTCAAACAATGCAGCTAGAAGATAAAAATGGAAGATTTTCATGTGTCCTAAGACATAAAAGTTTTAACTCTAAAGGAAAGTATGGGTAAATTTGACTAAATTAAAATGAAGAACTCTTATTCATTTAAAAAGTCACAATTAAGGAACACAAAAACAATATGCAGAGGCAGAAGATATACTGTACAAGGGGTTTATACCCACAGATTATCAGTAACTCTTAAGAATAAATAACACTTAAGAAATACACACAAAAATGCAATTTAAAACAACCAAAACCCAAATAGGTGAAAGATCTGAAAAGGCATCAACCAAAGATACAAATGTAGCAAAAGGTCAATAAACAAGGGCATAAGGTGTTCAATCTCATTAGTTATCACAAAATGCAAATATAAACCACAATAAAATAACACTACACATGTATCTATATGTCTATATGGCCAACCAAAAAAAAAAAAAACCACACACAAATGTTGAGAGTATGAAACAAGGGGAATGCACATACACTGTTGATGGTAATGCAAATTCATACAACTAGTTTATAAGAACCATTCTGCATTATCTACAAAAATGGAAAATGTACATATCCCATGACACAGCAATCCTACTCCTAGGTCTATACTCAACAGCCATGCATACAAGTATGCCTCAAGAATAACCACCCAAATATATGTCATTGGGCAAATGGATAAACAAACTGGAGATTCACACAAAGAAACACTATTCAACAATAAGAATCTGACATGCAACAACACAGACACATCTCAAAAACATCATACTGAATAAAGACGTCAGATACGAAAGATGACCTGCTGTGTGATTCCATTTATATAAAATTCCCAAATAGGCAAAACTAACTAATAGTGAAATCTACAGGTGCCTGATTCAGGAAGTTGGGAATTTACTGCAAATGGTCACAAGAGAATTTTAGGAAAAGTGGGGATGAGTGAT